CTAAATTGTATAGTGAATTGTACTGTCTCAAAAAGACCAAAGGGGGAAAATGCAGCTAGTAAATGAAATGTATTAGCTGAAACAAGTGTATTATAGTTCTACCTTGTAACTTTTGGGCTTGGCCAGCATGGTCCAGTTCTATTCCCTCCAGGCTGAAGGTAGATCTATCTGGGGAAGAGCCTGAACACTCTTGAGGTCATTAGCCATGGACAGTTGAGAGACCAGGCTTGTAGGGTGGGCTACTCTGGTGAAACCAAAGCCCGGGAAAAACCACAGTCACAGGTCCAGAAATCCAGCCTCAGAAGCAAAGCGTGGAGAGACAGGCAGGAAGCCTGGGGCTGGGAGGGCTTACAGCGTGGATCAGGGAGAGCAAAGTGAGAGACACCTAGCGACACACCGTGCAGTGTGTGACACCTGGGGAGCAGAGGGGGAGCAGGACTAGGGAGGGGAGCAGAGCGAGACAGCCTGAGAGCCAGGCTGCATGCACACAACCCTTTTCCTCAAGCTTCCTGCAGTGGGGTCAGTGCGATCCCCTGGTCTCTTTCCACTAAGTCCCTCTTCCCTGTGGATTAGTTTGAGTGGGAACATATTCTTTGTGCCCCTTCAACTCCTCAATGAAGATATTTGCATCAAGTTTTTAAAGATTTCACACAATCTATTCATGATTATGTTCGCTCAGCTAACAAACCACAGAGGATTAAAAAGCCTTCCAGTCCCTGCCCTCATGGAGATTACTTTCCAGGTCAGGGGAAGAGGACATTACACCCTAAATAGTTAAAAACCAGTCCGGCAAACTGCCGACCGTCTACTCAGTGCTTCAGAAAAGGCCATAAGAGGTGAAAAGGTGGCTGCAGAGGTTGGGCAAGGATTATCTAAAGACAAGACTTGATCCACATCCAGTGAAGACCTCAGTCTTTCGCCTACACTGCAGGAAGAGGCCTGAGGAATAAGAATACGTTGCGAGTACCCGCCTTGCAAACACATCTCAGGCTCAGGCAGTTGAGGGACGAGCGCTGGCAAGCACAGGCAGGTGGGATGGCAGGTGCCAAGTCAGGAGGGATGGGTGGAAAATCGGATCTTTCCGATGTTTTTCATCCCCATCAGAGACTCACTCAATGGTGGGGTGGCACAGAGACCGTCGTTTTCAGATGCTCCCAGATCATAATGCAGAGACTCGGTCATCAGAGGCAGGCTGACGCGGCCTGAGTGACTCGGGATGATGTGGAGAATGCACCCACGCTGGAACATCAGCTGATCCACCATGACACTGCAATCCCAGGGAACCCTGGGAACGCGTGATCCTCATAAACCAAGTTCCCGGATTCACTGGAGCCTCTCACAGCGCTGCTTGGAATTTTCTATGCATCTAGTCACCGGGAAATCTCTGACTCAGGTAGGTCTGAGAGTCTCTGAACACACGGCTGACCCACAAACCATTGTGAGCTTCAGAGTTTTAGTGCAGTGGTTTCCCAGATTTTCCTGAACACTAGAATCATCTGGGGTGTTTTATTTTGTTTGTTTTTAAATTTTATTTAAAGAGAAAAAAAAGCAAACCAGAAAAAAGGTAGAAATAATACAGGATTTCAAAAAAAATAGTAAGAAATCACTAGTTGATAAATTACATATTGTCCTCTTAGAAATAGTTATTCAAATTACAAAATTAAAGCATACAAAGTGGACATTCAGACTGCAAACAGTTCTATTCAATGATCCAACAAAAACTTAGTAATATGGTTATCAATCCTACACACTTAAACATACATGCAGTTATATCCTTTAGAGCACTTTCTTTTCCTCTCTTTTTTATAGTATCAATTATGCATTTTGGGTTTTATTACTCCTACGGCTCTTATTACTTTTTACACTAGAGATACAATGTAATATTTATAAATAAAATTCTTATTTATTTCATGTATGAGGATAGTCTCAAATTGTCTCCATTTACCTATGAAGGTCTCAAGATCATCCTTTTTTATAGCTGAGTAATATTCCATTGTATAAAAATACCACACCTTTTTCATCCACTCTACAGTTCATGGGCATTTTGGTTGTTTCCAAGATTTAGCTATTGCAAATAGTGCTGCTATGAACATGGGTGCACATATATCACTGTGATATGACCTTTTCAGTTTTTCTGGGAAAATACCTAGGAGGGGAATAGCTGGATTGAATGAAACTTCCAATCCTAGTTTTCTGAAAAATCTCCATATTGATTTCCATAGTGGCTGCACCAGTCTACACTCCCACCAACAGTGGAGCAGTTTCCTTTTTCTCCTTCAGCTTCACCAACATTTGTTATCAGTTGATTTCTTTTCTTTTCTTTTTCTTTTTTCTTTTTTTTTTTTTTTTTTTTTTTTTTGTGTGTGTGTGTATGTGTTTTTCCTTTTTATCAGTACCGGGGATCGAACTCATGACTACCCGCTTGCAAGGCAGGCACTTATGCCGCTGAGCTAAATCCCCAGCCCCTTATCAGTTGATTTTTTGATGGCAGTTATTCTTTCTGGAGTGAGATGAAATCTTAATGCTGTTTTAATTTGCATTTCTCAAATGACCAGTGATGGTGAACATTTCTTCATGTACTTATTTGCCATTTGTATATCTTCATCTGAGAACTGTGTGTTCATCTCAGATGCCCATTTTTGGAGAAGGTCTTTGAATTTTGGGGGCTTGATGTTTTTCAGTTCTTTTTTTTTTTTTTTTTTTTTTGGTGCCGGGGATCAAACTCATTACCTTGAACTTGCCAGGCAGGCGCTTAAGCCCCTGTTTTTCAATTCTTTATGTTCTGGATATAAGTCCTGTGTGTGTTGGGTTGCTGGCTATAATTCTTTCCCATTCTTTGGGTTTTTCTTTTGAAGTGCAAAAACTTTCCAATAATATGAGATCCAAGTTGTTGATTCTTTCAAGTGTTTCCTGTGCACTTTGAGTTTTGTTCATGAACTCCCTGCCTACCCCTATGTCTCCAAGACTTCTACCTACCTTGTCTTCTAGTAGATTTAGTGTTTCTGTTTTAATATTTAGGTCTTTGATCCATTTAAACTTTAGTTTTGTGCATGGTGATAGGCCTGGATCTAGTTTCAGACTTTGGCATGTGGAGAGCCAAGTTTTCCAGCACCATTTATTAAAGAGGCTATCCTTCCAGTGAGCATGTTTAGCCCTTTTGTCAAATATCAGGTGGCTGAGTGTCTTTGCAGTTGTGCTTGCATCTTCTAATCTGTTCCAATGACCCTCTGGTCTATTTCTTAGACAGTCTCATGCTGATTTTATCACTGTGGCTTTGTAGTATAGTTTCAAGTCAGGAATTGAGATGCCTCCTGCCTTTCCTTTATTGCCCTTAATTGCCTTTGCTATTCTAGGTTTCTTCTGTTTTCAAATGAATTTTAGGAGTGTTTTCTCTAGATCTGTGTTAATGTGTTTTAATGGTATGTTAATGGTATTTTGGTTGGGATTGCATTAAATCTGTATAATAGTTTTGGGGGTATGGCCATTTTCACAATGTTGATTCTTCCTAGCCAAGAGCAAGGAATATCCTTTCATTTTCTATCTCCTTTTGTAACATAGCATAATTTTCAGCATATAGGTCTTTTACATTCTTAGTTAGGTTGATTCTTAAGTATTTCATTTTTCTAGATGCTATTTTGAAGGGCGATATTTCCATAATTTCTCTCTCCATGAGTTTTTTGTTTGTGTACAGGAACGCTATTGATTTTTTGAGCATTGACTTTGTATCCAGCTACATTGCTGACTTTATTACCTCTAGTAGTCTTTTAATGGAGTTTTTTGGAGTTTAATGGAGTTTTAATGGAGATTTTCTATATACAGTATGATGTCGTCTGCAAATAGTGGTAATTTAACTTCTTCCTTTCCTATCTTTATTCCTTTTATTTCTCTCTCTTATCTGATTGCCCTGGCTAGTATTTCCAGAACTATATTGAATAGGAGAGGTGACAGTGGACATCCTTATCTTGTTCTTGACTTTAAAGTGAAAGTTTTCAGTTTTTTTCCACTTAGTATAATGTTGGCTGTTGGTTTGTAGATGGCCTTTATAAGATTGGGGTAGACACTGTGTATTCTGAGTTTCTGAAGTTTTTTTTTTTTTTTTTTTTTAACCATGAACATGTGTTGGACTTTATCGAAAGCTTTTTCTGCATCTATTGAGATGACCATGTGATTTTTGTTTTTGGCTCTGTTGATGTGGTATATTACATTTATTGATTTGCATATGTTAAACCATCCCTGCATTCCTGGAATGAATCCCACTTGATCATGATGTATAATCTTATTGATGATTTGCTGCATTCTATTTGCCAGTATTTTATTGAGAACCTTTGCATCAATGTTCATTAGTGAGATTGGCCTATAGTTCTCCTTTTTGGGGTCTTTTTCTGGTTTTGGTACCAGAGTAATATTTGCCTCCAGGAATGATTTAAGGAGGATTGCTTCATTTTCAATTTCACTGAAGAGTTTCAGGAGTATTGGCATCAAATCTCTAAATTTCTTGCATGATATATGTGCACCTATGTTCATAGCAGCACAATTTGTAATAGCTAAATTTTGGAAACAACCAAAATGCTGGTCAACCGCAGAGTGGATGAAAAGGTGTGGTATTTTTATATAATGGGATGTTTTATTAAACAACAAGATGCTTGTATTTGCCATTTTCATGTAGTTTAATTGGTGTAGGTGTGCTACAGACTTTGCCGGTTGAGAAGCTCCCCACGTGACTGTAATGGGCAGAAAAGTTTAGGATCCACAGTGCTCGGGTTTGCAGTGGAATGAACGTCAGATGCAAGGAAATGAATGAGTCCACAGCAGTAAAACAAAGACGTAAATAACAGGCTCGTTTAAATCATGCAGTTAGCGCTTCCTAGAAGGCGGCGGCGGGCGGGAAACAATGCACACTGAAGCGGTGCCTTCCGACCTAGGCCACCCGGAAGCCCAGCCACTCACGCAGGGAGGAAGGAAGGAAGGAGGGGCCCAGACCTCCGCCGGTCTCAAGGCGCATGCGCAGCTCAGAGGCCTGTGCGGAGCCCTTCAGAGCATGCGCAGCATCCTCGCGGCGGGTCTGCCGCCGGTGGGACCTCACTCCCGGAAGTGGGCAGCGTCGCGTGTAGCTTGCTTGGGGGAGGTCGCGCGCGCGCTCCGGGTCGTGGCTCCTGTTTCGGCAGGTGGCTGCGTGCTGGCCCGCGGGCGCCCTGGAGCCACCTAGTTCGGTCGCGGAGGCGGTGTCGTCCCTGACCATCGCCGACGCGTTCGTCGCAGCCGGCGAGAGTCCCGCCCCGCCCCCGCCGCGCCCGGCGCCCCTGCGGAGGTTCATCTGCTCCTTCCCCGACTGCCGCGCCAATTACAACAAGGCCTGGAAGCTCGAGGCACACCTGTGCAAGCATACCGGGGAGGTAACGCGCCGCTCCCGGGCGTAGGCTAGGGAAGACACAGCTAGGAGCTTCGCGCAGGCAGCGTGGTACCTTTCCTGTAGGCTCAAGGATCCTTAAACAGCCCTTTCCCATACTTTGGTCCGCAGTTTCAGCGGGTCCACACCTCCCAATAATCCGTCAGCAAGTGCACGGATGAAAAAACTCGTCACCACCAAGCACTACCTAAAGGCTGAGCTTCTAAAACTGCTACCCAGGATAACTTCCTGTGCACTAGACAGAGTTGTGTGAGCGCCCCTTTCCCCTGGGTCAGCCTCTGCCCTCTGCTTTATGCACCCCATCCAGCTCTCAGCAGGCTCAGCCAGCGACTGGCTTCATTGGTGACATCCTCTGTGCTCTGCCTCCCTGCTCTGTCTCTTGCCCATTCCTCACCCCCAGTACCCCCCAGATTCTGGGCTCTCTGTTGCTTGTGTGTCCTGCTTTCATTTTAGACCTGTTTGCTGTGCTTTGGACATTTGCTTGCCAGTGTCGTGGTACCCGTCCGAACACTCTTGAAGTCATGTATGTTGTCCTAAGTCTCGCACGCTGATCTGACAGTTCTTGAGCCTGGCAGATCACCACCAGTTCTGTGGCCGAGCCACGGCAGTGCAGCTCACCTACTTCCTGACTGCTGGCTTAATACCTTCTTCCTCAGTGTCATGGTGGTTCACTGTCCTCAGTCAGATACCCAAAGAATCCCTACCCCCACCCCGTGGTAGTTCTGATTAGGGCTGTGAGCTGCTTGCTTTGCTTTGCTGTAGCACCTGTCAGCACTGTCAGGTATGACACATTTTCCATAGCTGTATCCAGACACTGGGCTCGACAACTGTGTGGGAGAACTTGCCCCTTCTCTGCCCTGGACTGACTTTAGGTTGCAAAACCGTGCAGGTGGAGGAGATCCCTAAAGATAGGGCTGCTAATGGCCTAGTGATGAACAGTACGTTGCTGGGGAAGCCTGGTGCAGGTTTAGGGGTGGGGTAACAGTGCTGTACTCAGATGCTGTCCATAGACCAGAATCTGATGTGTGACTTGGTGAGAGTGTGGTGCTCTAACGATGCAGGAAAATCAGGTCCTGCTTTGGTGCAGTCAGTGTCACCATCCTTGTGGAGGAGAAGCCGTCTCCAGAGAAGTCTGCAGCTGGTCCTGTTAGATGTTTCAGGCTTTGGATTAATAACCAGAGTTACTGATGGATGGGATAAACACGTTTCTCCTTTTTTTCTAGAGGCCGTTTGCTTGTGACTATGAAGGCTGTGGCAAGGCCTTCGTCAGAGACTACCATCTGAGTCGGCACGTGCTGATTCATACAGGAGAGAAGCCTTTCGTGTGAGTAGGGGCTGGGTTTAGGCCTTGAGGTGGGTTATATGTGGCACATAGGTCTGGTGAGGTGACTGATAACTCACTCGTAAGATCGGGAACATGAAGTGGCTTTCAGGTTCCTGAGTAAGAGAAGACACTGTTTTGGCCATGGGAGAGCAAAGGGTTTTAGTGAGTCTTTTCATGCATAAATTTGAGAATGAGCTCATCTCAACTTCTCTGGGGTTTGTGTCCTCTCATCCACTTTTAAAATGTTTAGTAAATGAAATCAAGCTGGAAAAATACAGTTAGGAAATACATTAGATGGAAAGCAGTTCTTTGGTGTAGGAAGCCATTCAAGATAGAAATTGATCATCTGTGCAGGCCTGGGGCATGGCCAGCCCAAGAAGAAAGAGTGCCCAGGGCAAGCCTTGTGTAGAAACTGGGTCCCAAAAACACCAAGCCCTTGGACAACCCAGGCAATGGGGTGCCACATGACATTGTGTTGCTAAATGTATAAACAAACACCCCTACGATGAGGGGGCAGTTCCTTTCCTCACATCGGGAGAGTGAGGGCTCCACCGGACCCCAGCTTCGTCTCTATTTTCATCCTCTCCTGGTCCTTCACCTGAGGAAGCTCAAGAGCCGCATGGGTCACAGCACTTTGCAAAATCCTTGGGTTAGCATGTCAGGGTTTTACGGAAAATCTGGCCATTACTAGCTGTGGGAGCACCAATGTGGTCTTCCTCTCACACTGCCCAGCCTCTTTCTCTTTAGCCCCAGGTTGCTGGCCGGTGCTACTTGGGCATCTCTGGGTCTTCGTTGATTTCCCTTAACCAGTTTTGCTCCCAGTCCAGGAGAGAGCTCACAGCTCTCTTTGGTCTTCTGTTCCCCAATTCTTGGCTAGGTAGGTGACATCACTGTCCCTGGTGACCCACAGAAAGATAAGGTGGCTCCTTTCCTTTCCCACGCCCTGCAGCACGGACATCAGAAGATCCTTAACTTACTCCTTGACCTCCACCTACCCTGCAGCTGCCCTGGTGCAGGTCCTCAGCCTTTTCAGTGCATGCAGTATTTTTGGTGCCCCACAGGGGCCCTCTCCCATGTTACCCCAGGTGGCTTCCCTTAAAACCACTGGTTTTGAGCCCTGTTTATGTGAACTGCAGGTCCCTAGTGCATCCCATAAATGGCTCATGCCAGTTGGCCATTGTTTGCTTATTTGCCTCATCAGGTTGGCTCAAGGACATGACATTGTGGTCCAAGCTAGGCATGATGGTAGCATCTGTAGTCCGGGCTGCTGAAGGACAGGGGCACAAGGAGACTTGAGTTCAGGAGCTTTTCAAGGCCAGTCCAGGCAACACAGTGGACCGTGTTTCTTAGTAAAAAGAAATTGTGGCCCAGCTATCCTGAGGTAACAAACACCTCTTCCTTACCCCAAGTGTGCCAGGGGCCTTCCTGCCATGACCCCTACAGTTATGTTGAGTTAGATGGCTGTCACATATAGACTCAAAAATGACAGGAAACTTAGTACAAGAAAGTTGAACAAGATAGAGTTGTTATCCTGCATTATCGGGATGTGGAAGAGAAGAGGTTGAGGGGTATCCAGGACAGCTCTAGGGTCTAGGATCTTCATGGACCTGGGCTCCTTCTGACTAGTCTCTTTGCTCTTAGCATTTTGGGGCATCAACCTTGTGGCTCTGCACGCCTGTTGCAGCTCCAGCTATCACGTTAGCATTCCACCTGGCATGGAGAAGGAAGGGTAGGAGGTGTTTCTCCGCTGAAGACAGTTTAAGGACTAGACTAGATGCCAGTATGAGTGGCTTGGCGACATGCCAAGAAATTAGGTTTTCTGAGCTCTTTCCATTTTTTTGAAAATGCAGTTTGTAGTGATATTTCATGCAGAATTAAGGTTGTCACATTCTGCATTGAGACTAATTAAGTTTAAGCATGATTTGAGGCTGAGTAGTTTGAGGCCTTCAAGCATGAAAAAGCGTCATATTGCCTGATGGTCCCATGATGCTGAGAGGCCTGCATGGCATAGCTTAATTAGCTCTTTGGGATTTCCTCTTTCAGTCTCTTTCTTTTTTTGGTGTTGCTGGGAACCAGCCCAAGGCTACGCATGCCAGGCTCACGTTCTTCCCCCGAGCTGCTCCCCAGCACATTTTGGAATTTTCGTAAAACTATTTTGTACTATTCTTTGGAATGATTAGCCTTCATAAAATAGGAAGAGACATTCATCTTAAAACTTCCTTTTCACTGGTTTAATTTCTGTTTATACAATTTCTTACAGTTGTACAGCTGATGGTTGTGATCAGAAATTCAACACCAAATCAAACCTGAAAAAACATTTTGAGCGCAAACATGAAAATCATCAGAAACAGTATGTAGTAAGTATGATGACTGCACATGGCTAAATCTTGTGAGTTTTTTTTAATACTGCCAGTGTTTCTAAAGCTTTATTTTCATTATCCAAATTTAGTCTGTCAGATATCTAAATTTAGTCTGTCATGGGCTATCTTAACTATAAAAGTATTTGTTTGCAAACCTTGTGAGCATTAAAGTGTATCATTGGACAATTACCCCCATGAAAATGTTTTTGCTTTTTGCAGTGTCTTTAAGATTAAACTTCTTAACCTAAAGTATATTTTTACTTAACTGTCAGGGTGAAAGTGGCAACTGCATAATCTCCAAAATAGTTTTAGTTTGTTGATTGTTACAAACTGTTGATTCTTTATTTTTTCTCAAAGACTAACAAACCTTTACTGAACAGTGTGATTTTGAAGATTGCAAGAAGGCCTTTAAGAAACACCAGCAGCTGAAAATCCACCAGTGCCAGCACCGCAAGGAGCCGCCGTTCAGGTGGGTGCTGAGCGTGGCCAAGGTTCAGAAATGCCTGCTGCGAAGACCAGGAGGACACTGAGGGCGGGCGCCCGTGCTCTGAAGCCGCTTCCAACAGCCCTTTGCTGCAAATGATGGGTATTGCGTATGCCCATTTAATTGGCATTTGAAAAGTTAAATTTTGATTTCATTTCTTTAAAAGAAGTATTTAACCTGTTTCAGAGTAGTTTATGAGGTTATTACAGTTGTGCTTAAGCTTGGAGGAAAGGCTGAACTATTCAATTGGATCCCGTGCAGTCCTCTGAAATGCCAGGGTGGAGACCTGAGTCACCCTTCTCCCATAGCCAGAGGTTGCCCTCAAAACACACGAGTGGGGCTGCCACCGTGGATACAGCTGCACAGGGCTCCAAGGGATGACTGCCATCTTATACCAGGGCTTGCTGGCAGCGGGGCTGGCATTGCTCCTGGCTGGCACGGGCTGCCCTCTGCCCTGCAGTCCCTGCAGTGACATTGCTGTCCTGGCTTGCAGATCTGCAGATAATCTTTATGCTCCAACGAGGCTCCAGCCTCTGCTGCGGTGGTTTCTTATCCCAAAACTCCATGCAGCATCGTTAGAAACGCTGAGACAGATAGCTCAGGGTGGCCTGGGCTTCCTGCATCAAGTTGGACAGCCTTCCCAAGTGTCCGTGTAGTACCCGAAAGCAGGGTAACCATCAGGGTGAAAAATGAAAACAGTATTTAATTTCGTCACATAAGCAAATAAGGTAATGTGCCTTGTTTGTCTACAAGCAGTTCATTTTACTGCAGGGCTCATCGAGTAACTTGAGTGTCATCTGTGATTAGATCTGCTTTTTTAGATCTTGTATTTCTATAGCTGGTTTTGTACTCAAAAGAGGCAAGACTTTGTTAGAGAGCCAGGACAGAGTACCAGGTACCCCAAGTGGCACTTGCCAAAATGGACCAGCTAATACTGCATACGTTGCTCACCCAGGTGTATGCAGGAGGGATGTGGGAAGCACTTTGCCTCACCGAGCAGCTTGAAGCGACATGCAAAGGTCCACAAGGGTAGGTGTGGATGGCCTTGTGTGTTTTATGCTGAAAACCGTGAAGAAAGGGAATGTTTTGGTCATTTTATTTATTTTGATTGATCAATCAGTTGTATGTGTGCATGTGATTCTTTGATGACTTGGTACTCTAGTCTGTTCCGTGGTCATACTGAGGCAACAGGAGACACAGACAACCAGGATGCTGGTCTGCCTCCTCAGCCTGGTTCTCTGATCCAGAGCAGCAGTGCAAGTATCTGTCTCAATGCTGTGAGGTGGAGGCCCAGTGCCTGGTCGTGCTTTACCCTGGGATTGGTCTCTGCACCTGCCAGTGGTTTGCTGCTTTACTCTGTTTTAACCTCTTGTGTTCACACCTGTGCCCTTTCCCCTTGGCCATTCAGGAAGCTTGGATAATTTGCAATGTTCAGACACGTGGCTTTGTAACATAACAAAAAACACTTGATTTTGAGTCTGTCAACTACTTATATCTATTGTTTGTTTCCTTGGGTAATTTTTGTTATCTCTGCACCAATTTCCCAGATCCTAGAATTTAGGATTTTTAATTTTTTAAAGCGAATAAACTAAAAAAGAAACAAAATGATGATACTGCATTTCAAAAGCCAAACAGAAGGAAGTCAGCAATAGTTGCCATACTGCACACTGTTATCTTGTAAATAGTTGCTGAGACTACCAGATACAGGCATGAAAAGCAGACAATATAAGCACTAAGTTATCTCTTTGCTTCAGTTGCTATCATTTTAAAACTTTCAGGTGTGTGACTTCTAACTTCTTCTGTGTCTCTGTCTCCTGGGCTTGCTCTGGGTGGGCTAAGGTCTGAGATTGTACCCTGCTCCTTTGCCTTGACATTTTCCTGTGTTCTGAGTCCTGGGTGCTTCCTGCACTGGCTGCCCGTCCTGCAGGGCAGGGGATTGGGCCAGGCATCTGGGTTCCTCTAATCCAAATGCAGTGGGGTGGGGTGGCAACTCACTACTGCTCCCCCAGTGGCGGCAGGGCCTCAAGGCATGTCTCTCCTCCAGGCCCTCAGTGGGGTGATGGCTTCTCCCGGGTTCCCTGCAGCGGGCTCATGGGATGAAAGGAGCCCCAATGGCCAGGATGTTTAATTTTTAACAAGAGATAAGCGAAGCCAGGCATGGTGCACACACATAGTGGCAGCACTCGAGGCTGAGGCAGGAGCCTGGGCTACAGAGTGAGTTCAAAGCCAGCCTGAACTACAGAGCGAGACCCTGTCTCCAAAACAAAAGATTAGTGAGTGGGAGTGTGAGGCAGGCATATTCATGCTTCAGTGGGTGAACTTCAGCCTCGGTTACAGGATCCACTTCAGGTGCCTGTTGCAGTGCCCTTGTGGTCAGCGTTTGGGGTCTTGAGTTTGTTTCCTTCCATGGCTTTGCCCTGCTCCTCTCCTGCTGTATGAAACTACATGCCAGGCTCGAGCTAGCCAGGGGCCGGGCAGTGTGAGTCCCGAGGTGTGGCGCTGGTGTGCCGAGGAGGAAAGAGGTCGTCCTTGGCAGGCAGGGAACGGGGATGTGGACTAGCTGGGGGTAGGGATGAGGCCCCCCAACCCTCCCGGACAGCCTGCTGGGGTAGAACGCTGGCGCAGAGCTCCTCGGGCAGTGTGTGGCTTCACATCACATGAACCTTCCCGGAAGGCTTAGTCTCACACAGAGGACAGAATGGCACTGGGAGACCAGGGAAGGATTATGTAGGCATGTAGGCTTCCAGGCTAGTGGTCAGCATGGGCTGGACTTTCAGAACTGGCCGTGCACCTTTTTTTTTTTTCCTGAACAGGCTACATATGTCAAAAGGAATGTTCTTTTGTGGCCAAAACATGGACAGAACTTCTGAAACACATGAGAGAAGCCCATAAAGGTAAGGCAGGCATCGCTGCTACAGAAGGGAGGCAGATTGTTGAGTGACACCGTGAACATGTGCAGAGAGGTGAGGGCTGTTTGTGGGTGGATGGTGAGCAGAGCGGGCCCAGGCCTGCTGAGGCCCTGTGCAGGCTGAACGCAGGCAGGTTGTGGGGGGGTTCCAGGTGCCCCGGGAGAGGGCACTGTGTGAGCAGGCAGTGCATTTGCTTCGTAGTCACCGTGCTGAGAAGCTACCTGAACTCAGCAGCCGGAGTTTGGGGCTCTGAGATTTAAGAGTTTAGGAGAACTTTGCCAACCCCCCCTCCCCCGCAGTAAAAATGAGGGCCAGTGTCCTCAGAAGCTTCTGCTGTGTGTCTAGCCAGCAGACTGTGGACAGTGAGGACCTTACCTGCTCTGGGAGTCTTTCCTGGGTGATAACTTGGGAAGTGGGTTAAATGTCTCTCTGCTTCCTCAGAGCAAATAACGTGTGAAGTATGCCAGAAAACATTTAAGCGCAAAGATTACCTCAAGCAGCACATGAAAACTCATGCCCCGGAAAGGGCAGTGTGTCGATGTCCCAGAGAAGGCTGCGGCAGGACCTACACAACTGTGTTCAACCTCCAGAGCCATATTCTCTCCTTCCACGAGGAGCAGCGCCCCTTCACATGTGATCACGCCGGCTGCGGCAAGACATTTGCCATGAAGGTAAGCGCCTCCACCTGCCCGCCACGCTGTCCTGCTCCTCAGGGGGGAGCCCTGGATGAGTGGGTGCACGGCCCGCTGCTCTCCATGCAGCCCAGAGGTCTGCACTAGAGTCTGCAGGGCTGCCCAGACCAGCTGCTCTCAGAGTGTGCCCTGAGGTGAAGCACTGACCTTGCTGGGAACCCACAGTCAGAGGCCCCAGCCCGTGTAGGTTTTAGCAAGTGCTAGGTGGGAGGGCCTTGAGGTCTACACCCCTTACTCAAAGGGTGTGCTCGTGCTGTGGGTGGGTGTCCTTCTAAATCTGGGAAAAGAATAAGCACATGCTGCTGACCAGATGGTCAGGGGCTCTAGCCGGGGTCTCTCTCACGTCCCAACTGCAGGGAAAGGTGATGTGCATTGGGGGGCTGTGCACTTGTAGGCTCATTGGCTAGTGTCTCCAGTGGGGGTCTCACGCAAGTCCCAGGGGCAGGTGAGAAGGCAGTGTACAGTGGGGGGCTGTGCAGTTTAGGCTCACTCTGGCTGGTGTCTCACAGGTTCTTGCTGTGAATTATCAGGGATGGGACAGGGAACGGATTGAGGCTCACTCAGGACAGGAAGCGCCTGGAGCTGAGGGTGGCAGCATTTGTGGGCATAGTCTGTGGGATGTCAGGTAGATTTCCCACTGGGTTTGGGAGTACCATTTGGATTGGTTTGCTTAAAAGCACCCTCTGCAGCTCGGAAGAGAGCTCCTTTCCAGCAGGTCTTTTCTAGGACAGTGCTAAGAGGCTGCCAGTGGTTGGAATGGTAGGAAGTCCTAACCTGGTTCCTTGGAGGGAGAAGTCAAAGGCGCTAGGCTAGGAGTTAGGAATTCTTTCCCATGTTCTGTGTGGGGTGGGGTGGGGTGGGGGGATCACCACGCAGACAGAAAGGAGGCTGTGGTTTATTCATGCTAACAGGCAGCAGTGTGGGGCCTTCTAACATACAGTTCTTCTTTTCCTTCACCCTAGCAAAGTCTCACGAGGCATGCAGTTGCCCACGATCCTGACAAGAAGAAAATGAAACTGAAAGTAAGTGGTAGCGTCTTAATCCTGCTTTGCTGTTAAATCCTCAGCTGTGTAAAGCCTGGGGCAGTCTATCTGGAATATTCTCACCACTTTACCCTGAATCCTGAATCCACTCTGCTGAAGGGCGATTTTCTATAAAGGAGAACAGTACAGCTATTGTAAAAAGCACAGATAAAGCTGACTTAGAGTCCTGGTTGTCTGCCTCCCTCACCCAAAGGTAAGACCCTCCCGTGGGAAGCGGAGCCTGGCCTCCCGCCTCAGCGGGTATATCCCTCCCAAGAGGAAGCCAGCGCAGGACGCACCCTCGGCTGCAGATGCGGAGATGGAGAGCTTCGTGGGAGACGGAGCATGCTCCATGGCTGCAGGGCCTGCCCTCCACTAGGCTCACCTGGCCTTGGTGAAGGACTACAGACCAGTGAGCTGATTAAAGCTCAGAAGCCTATTTTTCTGTATTTGTTTTGTACTGGGAATCACGCTCAGGACCTCGCACTGGCCAGGCAGGCACTGGCGCTGAGTTATATCCCTGCCCTATTTTTCTGTATTAAAATCATGGGTGTATCACATCTGACTCCCCGCCACCTCCATTCCCTTTGTTCAAAGTGTCTCTTTTCTGAGCTCGAGAGTCTGCATGTGTCTTCTCCTCTTTCTTGGTCAGATGACGAAGAATGCACATACAAGCTCTTCCTCCTTTAACAGGTTGTGGTCTGGACAAGAAAGTGGCCATCCCAGGCATGGTCTGAAGTATGTGGTCAAATATTTCCTCCTACAGAAGGGAAACAGGCCAAGATTAATTCAAAATCAGTGTCTCTGATGCTTTCTGTTGTCAGTGCTCAAACATGGACGAAAAAATAGCATCCTGAAACTGCTGCTGATCAAGTGGGACTGGCCGATCAAGTCACATGTCTGGTTCCAAGACTGCAGTCTGTACAGTAACCCATGTGACTGCCTGTGAGCTCTGAGCAGCTACCTTTGACCCTAGACTGCCCTCTCCCAAAAACAAGTACCAAACACTAGGTTTGAGTATTGGTAAAGTATCTTTATCCTCAAAACAGATCAGTGCAATTTCCAGTAGTGATGCTAACTCAGAATTACTTGAGGTGATTTTTACAATAACACACACACCCAGGGCTCCAGAAATCCCTAATCAGCCGGGGTGTGCCCTAGGCCTGAGTGAGTCTAATACAGATCCAGGATTGAAGACCGTGCACAGCAGCTGCCTGTAGGGGCTGGGTGGTAGAGTTACCCAGCCTAGCAGTAGGACACAGTGAACATCCTCTAGCAGACAGTTCAGCCAGCAGCATCATGGGCATTCAAAACAGCCGAAAAGATCCATCTATGAAGTTTTCCATTTTCCTATTCTAATTTGTAAGATAAGATACAGCTTTTACATTGTCAGTGTTTTCATACAGCAAAAGATGCTGTAATAGAAGCACCTTGATACAGCATATTTCATTTTGAAAAATAAAGTGAGAAATGCATTACCACTTTTGGGTGATAGAATTACCCAGAAGCTTTGCCTTTGCCTTTATTTTTTTAGGTTTCCTACAACTGTAGTTTTATATCAGAAAACCAGAAAGCAAGTATTGACGCTTGGTTTTACTTACTGGTTTATGTTCTGGGTCATCTGCATTTTTCCCCTTCTTTATGGTAATTTGAACCTGATAGTTTTTCTCAATCCACTGCTGAATCTGTTTACTCTTTGTCTCCAGGTCATGTTGTCCAATATTTGAGGAAAAGGTCAGTTCCTTTCTCACAGTTGGTCCTGGTGTGAGACAGCAAGATTTGGTGCTAGGACTCCTTGCGAGTCTCCTTTGAGATCATTTCTGTCACCACAGAACAACTGTGGTTACACAGAGCCCCTGATGGTTCTCTCACTTGAGAGTCAGAAACCAGTAACTTCTTTTAAATTAGACAGCTAAGTAGCAATTTTTACCTGCCAAGCTAGGGTTACTGACAGTAAGGTTTTTGCATTATACACAACAGAACTATAAATCAAAAAATCATCCAAGAAAAGTAAAGGAACATGAATAGGCAAATCAGGAAAAAAAAGCGCGAATGGTTGAAGGAAATACATTAAAACAGTAACGCTTTCCCATCATTAGCATGAAAAACATCAGTGGGACAGTACCAGGGGTGGGTGAGAATGTCCAGGGGGGAATTTCACACCCTGCTCCTGAGAGCCACTTGACTGGCTTGGTTCACAGAACCTGGAGGATGCACACGCATTCACGATAATGGGAAACTGGGAACCAGGCCCAGTGTCATGAAAATGGGTTAACAAATTTGATACAGTCTTAAGATGAGATGTCACATGGTAATTATAAATTAGCCACAGCTATTATATGTATAATGGGTAGATCTTGAAACAATAGCGTGCCATTTATATCTTTACACACAAAATCTACTGTTTATGGGTATATGTGTTGACAGTCACAACACTGACTGGGCCTACACGTGGGACCCATGAGAGCAGGGACCGCTGGGAGGGCGAGGGGACAGCAGAAAGGAGTAGGGGGAACTTTGTCTTCCCTCTAGCGTCTTACAGATCTTAAAGCTCAGCCATGTTAACAGTTGTCCTTTTGATTGACCAGCAGTAAGTGTTTATCATATACCTTTCTTCTCTATGCTTTCAGATTTCCAAAACAAAGTTTTTTGTTGTGGCTTTTGTTTTTGTTTTTGGTTACACTCAGGATTGAATCCAGGGTTTTCACACTGAGCTATATCCCCAGCCCTGCCCCCTGCCCCAATTTTTTTTTTCTTTTGAAACAGAGTGTCACTATGTCACTAAGTTGCCCGGGCTGGGTTTAAACTCAGCATCCTTGGCTGCCAGAGTGGGGACAGCCCCACCCAGGCCTCTCTCCTGAGTCAGCACCATCTGCAAACAGCGTGGGGATGGAGGACCAGACCTCACCAGGAAGCATCCCTGCCTGGAAACCACATCACTTTCACTGTTTTCCTGTTGGATTTTATTATGTTAAATCTGATGGCAGGACCAGCTAAAAGGTAGCAAGACACAATGGTAGCCATTTTGGATTTACTATTTGGTTTTATTTTCCTTGATATTATCTTCTTTAAGATAAAAATTTTAAACATGAAAGTAAATAAAGTTACCACCCTCCTGCTTCAGCCTCCCAGAGTGCTGGGATTAGGAGTGTATGCCACCATGCCTGGCAAAAAGTTTTTAACACCACTTTGCTACACTGTAGGTCCTGAAGCCTTATTGGAATAAAGTAATTCGTAGAGCACATTAGGCCTCCCAACTTTTCCAGTCTGTTCCCTTTTTTTTTTTTTTTTTTTTTTTAAAGTGTGACATAGTTTGATGTCCTTAATCCCACCTGGATATGTGTTACATGTGGCATTACCGAAGAGCTGGTGGCGCTCACCTATAACCTTTCCTTCTGGGAGGCTAAGGCAGGAGGATTGCAAGTTTGTGCCAGCCCGGGCAACTTGGCAAGAGCTTGCTTCAAAATAACAAATAAGGGATGAGAATGTAGCTCAGTGTGAAGGTTCTGCGTTCAATCCCAGTATCACAGAAACAAAACCTAAGGCAGGTAATGAGCGTTTCTCCAGGTAAATAGCCCCATGACAGCTGGGTGGGGACCAGTCTCCTGATTCCTGTCCCTGCACTCTTCCCGCTGAGCAGTCTTCCGTAATGACCAGCACGTTTTAGGAGCTGGGAGAACCAAACAACTTCCCTTAAGATCCACTCACGGCTTCCTCAAGGAGTGACTGACATGCCCGGAAGGTGACCGGCCAAGAAGGCAAAAGAGCACAGGAACAAAACCCTTGAGCCTGCCGGGTGCACGCTCACTCCTCCGGCACACTCCTGGAGTCCGGCGTTCTGGGCGCTCAGGCCGGAAGTCGGCAAGGAGGAGCCCAGCCTGGACAGTTTAGCAAGACTGGGTCTCAAAAAGTAAGCAAGGGACTGGGGACGTAGCTCTGTGTGCCCTTTGGTACTGCGAGAAGCCCGAAGCCGCCTCTTCTGGGTCTCACTTCATTTCACCCATCACGCGCTGTGACACTTGGACGCAGTGCCACAGGACCAGGGCAGCGCATTCAGATCGTTTTGGTTTGCATGCCTTGCTTCTCACTTTACACAAGGAGCACAGGGTATCAGGGAAAACAAAAAATGATGGATTGTAAGCGAGGGGTGAGGAAACTGCCCCGGGGACCCTGACGAAGCCGTGAGTGTGTTGATTGTCCTGGTTTCTCATCTCCCACTGTCGTGAGCGCTTTGGAACACGTGGAATCTTAAAACTGCTCGTCTGTAACCGTAAAGGATTTAGGGAGCTGGCAGCAAAATACTCACCGGATTTGGGCTTGGCCTTTTCCTCCTCCCGGAGCCGCAGGCGCTCCTGGTGGATCTGCGCGCCCGTCATGAGCTGGTACTCCGGGGGCTCCGCGTCCGCGTCCCTCTGCACCAGCCTCAGCGCCCGCTCCTCCATGAGGCGGATGGTGTCCGCCCGGTGCATGGGCCCCAGATCAGTGCCCTCCTCGCTGAAGACTCGGATAATGCGTGCGTGAATCTTCCTTCCAGTGTTGGTCAAAGTCTTGCTTGCTTTCTTTTTCCTGTCATCCTGGGCACCTTCATCGGTGCTAAGGCACTGTGCGTGAACCAGAGAGGGCGGCCTCCAGGCTGAAGCGGTTGGGGACAGCGGCGTCTTTCGCACCGTGTGCTTATTAAAACATCTAATGCAATTATTTTCAGTTCTTATGGTTTGCAGTGTTAATCTCTTTAGAAGAAAAACAGCCATCCTAGGACAGTAATGAGAAAAGTCTGTTAAGATTCAATCGTTTATTCCCTGGCCAGACTAAAGCTCAGTGGTACTGTCCCTAGTAAGTGGGTTTATTAGTACAAACCGTCACTGCAGGGCTTTGGTTTTCTCTGTCTTCTTTCCATACTCATTGTCCCCCTAACTCTATGGGCAGAGATCATCCTGAGTGCTACTTATAAGAACGCCAATGCCCACTGATTCACACACACTGATTCCTAAGCCTCCTATGTAATTAATTGAATGACTGACCAGCACATGTGATGCTATGTAAAAGGTGGGAAGAAGCCGAGCCCTGGAAGGATGGAGGCTGTCAGAAGGAAATAAATCTCGATGTCAAGCTCAGAATCCATGAAGATCATTAACCAGGTGAGGCAAGCATTCCTAACAAGTGTTAACTAACCATTAGGCATATAGTACAAGTATATTCCACATTATAGTACAAGATTGAATTTTGCACACTCTAAAATGATACTCAGAGGTTTTAATTGCTTCTCTGTCATAGTGTGTTTCTCCATCCACTCATGTTTGGTGAACCTTCAAAGCACAGGCTAAAGGAGATGACCAATCCATCTCATCTAGGACAGGCTGAAAAACATCAGAGGGTAAGAAATCACATAGAGGTGTGACTGGTGAAACTGACAGGAGAGGAGGAGGTGGCTTAAGTGTCACTTCTCAAAGACTAGTCCCTGTGCTGCCTGCATGCGAATCCCCTGGGGTATTTAAAACTGGAAGTTCCTCCTGCCCTGGGTATGATCTCACCAGGCTGTACAACCCACTGGCCCACTGTTGCTCACTCCTTTAGATGAAAGAGAGAAAGAGAGAGAGAGAGAGAGAGAGAGAGAGAGAGAGAGAGAGAGGGAGAGAATGAGAACAGAGCAGAAAGTGAAGGACGCGTACATTCTCGCCTCCCTCCGTAGCCAGTGTGCTAACCCTCAACACATTTACAGCTCCAGGTCCAACTCTCCCTGAATTCCAAACTCATCAAGTTAACTGCTTATCAACACCTCACCTAGATGAGTCCCAGTCATCAACATGTCCAGGATGCAATTCCTGACTTCAGAATGGCAATGCAGCCTGCTGGTGACTCAGGCCAGCGACAACACACACATCCTGGACCCTGCTCGCTCAGGTCCTCCAGCAAGTCCTGCTGTCTGCCTGCAAGGCATGCCAGGCCCCGGCCCCTCTCGCCTCCTCCACTGCTGTGTGGCCCAGGAGCCACGTGCATCACAGGAAGCGTCCTGCTGGTCTCCGTGTGCTTGCTCTGGTCCTGGGTGGGCATCGATCGAAGTGCACAGCATTTCTTCCAAAAGGAGTCAGGGCGGGCCATGCAGTGTAGGCTGGAGTACTCAGTTTGGTCCCCAGAACCATAAGGAGAAAAGTAAAATGCGTTGACTTAGCTGTGTGGCTCCTTTACTCCACATATCTCCCTCAATGTTACCTGTGTGGCGAGGGCTCTCCTGACCTCCCACGGTCCCTCATTTCACATCTACTACCTGGCATTTAAAAAACAAAACAAAACAAAAAAACTCCACCACATTCACCATTGCGACATACTATGGATTCATGTGTCCACACACCATCTTCCCTTCGTGGAATGCAAGTTTCATGAGAAAGTGATTTGTCCATTTTCCTCACGGCTGTAGTTCCCAGAACTAGACCTGAGTGCCTGGCCCCATGCGTCCTTGATGAGTGACAGACAGGCCCAGGACCTGGAGGCCTGGGTGCCTGCTGCCCTGGACCCACACCTTCTGATATGCCGTTCCTATCAGCATACACATACCAGCAGGCTGCATTCTCTTCTTTTGCTATTTTTTTCTTCTTTAAAATTTTTTTGTGGCACTAGTGATTGAATCCAGGGAGCCACATTGCACACAGCCATTTTTAAAAACTTCTGACACAGGTTCTCACTAAGTCATCATTAAGTTGGCCAGGCTGGGCCAAACTTTTGATCCTCCTGCCTCACCTTCCAGAGTGCCTGGGTCCCAGTTTGCACCTGGCTCCTTTCTCGGGTCCAGTGACTTTTCAGAAGTTCTGTGACCAGATGCTTTTCACAGTGACTGAGAGGAGTAATCCACAGTCATCGCCTAGTGGGGGCTCGAGCCATAGGTGCTCTAGTATGGGAGGGAGCTGGGTTTCAAAGAGCTGAGACACTTCCTATCGAATAAAAAGTTAGTATTTGCTGACGGTGGATGCTGCTGTTTGTCTGCCTTCTGTCACTGTAACAAACACCTGAGCAATTTAAAGGTTTTCTTTGAAACTGGGTATAGTGGTGCATGCGTGGGATCCCAGCACTTAGGAGGCTGACGCAGGACAACTGGTGTGAGATCACAGCCAGCCTGGGCTACACAGTGAGACCATTTTGGCTTACAGTTTTATTTGAAGATTTCAGCCCCTGATCTGCTGGCCTTCTGCTTTTGCTTCTGGGATAAGGAAATGTATCACGGAAGGAGCACACGGCAGAGCAAAGCCAGGAAGTCAGGTCCTACCCACCATGGCTGTCAGGGCTCCCCTTAGTGACCATGGACATGAAGACCCAAACACGCCAGCCCGAAACAAAAAAAAAAAACAAAAGCACAAAAACACGGGCTCAGAGAGGCCCGTTTTCTCACTTATCATCACCAAAAAGAGCTCAAGTCCCAGATTTTACTAGTTATTCTTTGAATACCACAGTGTGAGATGCTAGGTGTTAGGTCTGAGAAGGGGAGGATGGGAGAAGGAAGGGAAAGAGGTCCGTGGAAGGAGTGGAGTGGACGGCCGTGAAAGGAGTGGGCGGCGGTGGCTTTATTTCGGGAATGCGGGGAGAGACACCCCCCTACCCCCCCACCCCCCACCCCACCCCCCCACCCCCGGCCCCGGGGCGCAGCATCTCCACCCCGCGGCCGGTGGTCTCTCTTTGGAACACACTCTCCCTTTCTCCGTCTTCTTCTTCTTCTTTTGAACACGTGGAGTGAGGCCCATAAGTAGCCTCTGTCTGGGGCATTAGGGATGCACAGGTATTTAGGGACTCTCACACCAAAAATCACAGTCCTGTTTCCTCCCAAAGGCTCTATCAGAGACAAGATATCACTTGTCAAGTTAAGTTACTAAGTACTGACCAATCATTTAAATGCTAAGTGCCTTTTCCCCCATTGCAGCATGGATGAAAGCCTCTGTGTCCTATTGAAAACTTGTAAGCTGACAATTAACTAAGAAGTAAGCAATTATTGTACCTTTTAAGCCAAAAATGTATTCATCCACTGTTGATAAGAAAAGCTCTTCTTTAGAGAAGATAGCTAATAAATGGAGAAGAAACATAATTAGAAAACTCACCATTCCCCTCCCCCCATTGAAATCACTGATTCAGGCAATGAAGATGCAAATAAATAAATACATAAAATAGAAATCAACAGGCAGAATGCCGACACCAAAGGGTCCCCTACAGACTCCTTCCAGACTGAATGCTGCCACGGAGACAGCTAGCTGGCTGTCACTACTTTTGTAGATCTGTTTCCAGGTAACCAGGCCAGATTCAGAGCAGAACAAATTAGCGGACATCACACAAGTCCAGACTGTGGGATAAGACAACTGGCCTGGTGTCTTAAACAGACTGAGCAACATAATTATAAAATGCAATGTGTTTGAAAAAAAGAAAAGCAGTTGAAAAGACATTGTTAGGGATGCAGGAGGGACCGGTGACTACAGATGAGGTATCAGGTACTCTTAGAGAAGTGCTGTTAATTTTCTTCATGTGCAAATTAAACTGAGGAAATGAATGCTTAATAGCATGACACATCACTTTTTCCATTTGTTTTCTGAGAGTCTCACTGTGTAGTTCATAGCCATCTTCCCGCTTCAGCCTCCCGAGTGCTGGTATTACAGCAGGCGCCACCATGCCGGTGGTACCTATCACATACTTTGCGATGGTTCACCAGGAAATACAAAGTTAGTGCAATTATAGCAACACTGGCTGAATCTGGCTACAAGGTGTTACTAGTCTTTCAACTATTTTGTACGTTTGAATTTTTTCTAATTAAAGTTTTTTAAGAACCACAACCCAGGAGAAAAAAGCTCACCAGCCAGGTCAGTATGTTTAACTGAGACTCCAAGTTCTGTATTTCACTGTAATTGTACATTCTGGTTTTGTGCATCTTAAAAAATACGTTCATTAGTTTCAAGCCTGTGTTTAAGTGGTCTATAAACCAGAACTTCACAAACTTAAAATTCTGAATTTTTTCTAATGTCACCTTTATTTCTCTATCTAACTTTCACCAAACCGAAGCCTAAGAGTGAGTTGCCACATCAAATGCTGATGGTTTCAGTCTGAATTAGAGCTCCTAGGTGTTCCGCTAATTCACAGCTAAAAGACAGCATGTCCGTGCTAAAGCAGTGTTTCCCCAAAGCCAGAGGCATCGGTGTCATCTGGGGCTGCTTTCAACACAGAGGTGTCCTCTCCTCTCCTGCAAAGCTCCAGTGGGTTAGGACAGGAAAGGCAAGGCAGTCTACAGCACGAAGAACATGCAAGTGGGTGCAAGGGTGGGTTCACCGGGGGTGGGTGAGTGTACTGCTTCTTTGGAAGGTTGACCTGAAAACAGGAAGTCATGATCATCTTTAATCCCTCAATCAGATCAAAGACAGACAGAGACTCAGGTGGTCTAAATCAAAATAAAGCAGCTTGTGCACAATGATCATGAGTAAAATGAGACAGCCATAATACTCTGAAACCCAAGTATCTTAAAGTCAATTTCTTACAAAGCTTGACTTTACTGTCTACTTGTGATTTGATGATTACTCAGATTTTATCAAAATCATACTGTTTGGCATGAGTTTGCTTTAAATTCAGTAGCTGACTCCACACTGAAGAAACACATATCTTTAAAATAAAAAGCAGCACGTCTTTTTATGTTTCCTTATTTACTTGAGATGGGATCAGTGAGACTCTCCAAGAGGAATAAGATGTGTCTTAGGCACCATTACCACTAACTCCTAGAATGATGTGCAAAAGTCCACTGTGTTATTCCAAAGGCACATGATGCGAAGTAATTTTAATGTCTGATATATAGATTCAAAAAGAAACTGAAATTTTAGGCCAGAAAGTGAGAAAAAAGTATGCAACTACCACATTTCTCCCAAAGTAAAACTAGATCACATTAGTTTTTGCTCCAAAAGATGAACAGGGCTTATTTCCATAGGTTGTCTTATTTTTTCCATGTACAATAATCTATGTTGAAGCATATACAAAAATCTACATTTATTCAGAGAATCACGTCATCTTCTGCCCCATCTCTGTTACTCTCCAAACCCGGAATATTCTTCATTTCTTGCGTCTCCATTTCCTGTACCACTGGCCCCAATTTCTCTCGGCTGGATGCGCTCCTTAATCCACACCGCTTGTTCATGTGGCCTGCTCGCAGTGGTCACCCAAGTCACCACCTCTGGCAGATCAGTGTCACAAAGTTTCCATTAAATCAAGTGTTTAGAACTTAGGAGGCAGGAGTTGCAATAAAAATGATGACACTTAAGAATGATCCACACCAAAGAATGGTCCACACCAAAGCGATAAAACACTGCAGGCACCAAAACTCAGAAAATGCTCCTCTCATGAGTGCATTAAGCACACCTTGGGAACACACGACGCACTGCATTATGAAGATGTACATGAGACAGAGCCATGTCCATTCATCAGTTTGCACACTATTCTGGCATTGGGTTTGTACCTACCAGGCATTCGGCAGTTCTCCTGTTTATACAGGCATTTACCTCTTGTCCAAAGGTGCCACCTGGTTATTCATAAGTACTTAATTTTAATTTATATTGTCACTTATCTGACTTTTTTAAAATAAGAAAGTCCAGAGCTGGAACTTTTTTTGGGTGGGTGGGTGGGGGCGTACTGGGAATCAAATTCAGGACCTCGAGCTTGCAAGCCAGGTGCTGTGCTGCTGAGATACAACCCTGGCCCACTTACTTTAAATATTAATATCAATTATTTACCTTTAACTGTCCATCATGTGTTGCAATGGACATACTAAATGCATCTGGCTGACAATCTTAATTGGGGCTTACTTTTGGGCTTATCTTACAAGCACCTTAGAAAAAAATCATGTGAGGGTTTTTCAGTTAAATCTTTTTTTTTAGGGAAATATGGTACCTGTATATTTCAGGTAAGCTTCTGGTTGTGTTTATATTTTCATATTAGTCTTCAGTAGTCTAAAATGGAATAGTATTCCTAAGAGGATTATTTCCCCCAACATTTTATTATGAAAATTTGAAACATACAGAGAAGTTGAAGTAAAAAACCCATTACAGTATATAGTATAAAGTTGAAGTAAAAAATCCATTACATTATAGTAAAAAACCCATTACAGTACCTATTACCTGAATTCCATAATTAACATGCTTTATCCAGCCATCTATTTGCTTCCCTTTTCATAATCCTTTATGTTTTGTTCATTTCAAGCTAAGTTTCAGGTATCAGTATGTTTCATCCTCAAACACTTTAGCATGCATAACATTAGAGTTCAATATTTGTTTAAAATTATTTAAGGCACAATGTATGATGAGATGTACAAGTCTTAAGGATGTCACTTAGTTGACTAGTTTTTACAAGTGTATACTTTTATACCCAAAATGTTCTGCAACATGTACATGATCAGCATACTCCAGAATCCCTGCCTGGCTCTTGCAAGTCAATATCCATCCCCAAACTAAGGCAATTACAGTTGAGTTTTTTTATTGTAGTCTAAAAATTCATAGAAATAGAATTAAACAGTATGTGACTCCATCTCAGCATGTTTTCAAGATTCATCCCTGTAGTATAATGTTTGTTCCTTTTTATTTCTGACAACTATCCTGATATAAGAATGTACTGCAGTTTTAAAATCTAGTTTCCCAATAATAAACATCTGGCCTTTTCCATTTTTGGTCTAAAGACTGAAGTCACCATGAATATTCTTATACCTAAAAACAGTCACTAAACAAATACTGCCCAAAGGATAGTTGTATTTCTCGTATGATACATCATCTTTTCTTCATGAGACACTAATTATCTGTAAGAAACTTCCTAAAACATAAACATGTGAGTTAGGGATAAGGGATGAATAGGTAGAGTTCCATCCTGTTACATGTTAAACTCCTTGCAAGCTTTTTGAAACTATGCAGACTGAAGAGATGAAAATAATTTCTACTACCTGTTTATTCGTTCCTCATTTTGCCATACAGGTGATATATGTATGCTCATATATATCTGTTCATTCCAGGGAGGATGGAAAGTTACATAGATTCCAGTGAATTAAGTATTTGTGAAACTAATCTTGCCAATTCCTATCATTGTGAGAATTCTCTCTCCCATCTCCCAAAGGAGGTATGAGAGAAATTTACATCTGCCTGCAAAATGTTTCCTGCGCCTGTTTCTAACCTGGGTGTTGCAGGCTTCAGACTGCAGGATGGCTACTAAGACTTCCTGCTGCTCTGCTTTGGCTCTTCTTTTACTCTTTAAAAGGAACGCAAAGTACTCTCTGTAATAGGGCTGAGGTGTTCACAAGCCAAATTTAAACTTAGAACACTGAAGAAAGCCATATATATATATATATATATATATATATATATATATATATGCCTGGCCACTTGCCTAACTACATTTCTTTAGCTACAAAATTAAAATAACAATCATGCAGAAAATGTTTAAGAAATTTGGAAACCCAGAGGTAAAGACTAAAAATTGAAATTGCTCCTTTATGTTAATCTTCTACTCGGTGACCTCTTCCAGGCTACCTTATCTTAATGACCTGCACGACTGTCCATCAGAGGCAATGTCCTCTCTGACGCTCCCATTTCCCCTCTTTCACAGCCAGTCTGAATTTCAACTTCCTAAACTCTGCTCAAGTCCACCCATCCCTCTCCAAATCCATTGCCCTCTCATTTAAAATCGTCGCTCTTGGGCCAAGGTCAACAGCATTGGCAAGCGCAAGGTCCTGAGTTCGATTCCCCAAAACAAATCCTTCCTCTTTCACTGAGTTCACAATCAGTTTTGCCCACTTCACTGCTGCGGACACATGCTGACCCTCCTCCCCAGCTTAAAACTGCCCGGGTAAATATTTACATCTGTAACAGCCCAGAGCAGCCTCCTCACTTCTCCACTGGCCTTCCCGTTCCTTTAAATGCTGTTTCCCTTGGCTCAGGATACACCACATTACTGCCTTCGCTCCCATCTCAAGGTCTTCTAAACCTCTCAAACTAACCTCTCACACTAAGCCAGGTCGCCCCCATCCCACCTGTCTGCAGAGCTCAGCCTGCACCGATTCCACGGTGTGGTTTATTCCTCCCTGATAGCACGGATGACAGTTATCATTTAGTCATTACTTTATTGCTGTTCCTCACTGTGAAGCCGAGAACAAATGTGATTTTTCACTGGCGCTTAGCCCAGCACCATTAAACGGGAGCTGGTTTTCCACATTCTCTCACCCGGCTCTATCTGTCCTAGGCCGAACCTTTTAGAACACCTGGATCTGCGGCTTCTCACTAGGAAGACTTTACTTGACTTCTTTCAGGAATCTTACGCCATGGAATCTACCAAGTGATACATGCAACAAAAGTTTCAGTCCCTTCAGCCCTTCCCATTGAAGCTTTCTCCAGCGGCAGAAGCGTTTGACTTTGCCAGACGTTCCTGAGCGGCGGAAAGGGAGCCCTACCCTAGCCTTGACCAGCGCTCAAGTAGCCAAAGGCAGAGCGCGTTTCCGCCTTGAGCAGGGCACTTCACACCCAACGTTGCCAACGCGCCTGCGCCGGGAGGGGCACGGCGTGCGTGCGTGCGTACGTGCGTGCCGGAATGGCGGGGCGGGGCAGAAAGGAGGGTACTGTGGGACCGCAACCCTGCTTAGGTCTCGCGGCCCTGAGAAGCCAGTGTGGCAACCTGGGCCGAAAAACGGCTTTGCGGACTGGCTGCACCTTGCCCCGCAGCGGATCTAAGGTGCCTCACCACCCTCCGCCCCGCGGGACGGCTTGGTCCTGACCTTCAAGGACACGGCCGAGCGCCGGGCTGCTTCTTCCACAGGGTTGTCCCTTAGGACCGCATCCTTCCGTCGTCGTCCCCTCACTGCCCTCGCCCCTCACCTTTAAAGTTAGCCGCTAGGCGAGGCGAACGATAAGGTCTGGCGGAAGAAGCCAGTGAACGGGTGGAACCCCTGCGCTTTCCGTAGTGGGCGGGGTCTGAGCCCTTGTCTTTTAAAGGAAAGGTGACGGGTGACTGAAGCAGTGGGTTAAATTCCTCCGATAAAAAAATGCAGGTGAGCCACTCCAAAAGTGACATGACTCATATGTTGAATTTTTGCAGCAATCAGAGCGTCATTTCTACCAGCTACATTAATAATCTTTTTATTAATAAAATATTACTTATAGGCTTCTTTTGAAACTACTGTGAGTTAGGGAGCATTGTCCCCAACTAACAAGTGGCTCTGTTCCTCTCCACCCCGGGAGACCAATGGTGCTGGAACAGGCGAATCAGACTGAAGTTGCTATTAGAATTGCAAGTTCTAACAAGTTACCAACTTAGAGTTGTTAACGGACTTCCCAGAGTCAGAGAATAGCCAGCACAGTCGGCTGCCCATGTTTTGTGGGTTTTTTTGTTTTGTTTTTTTACTGCTGCCTCTTGGGCCCACAAGTGTCACCAGGGTGCTGACTCCAGCCCCCACTGTTGGAGAAGTGCCAACTACCTGCACCTCTGTTCTTCAATGGGAAAGTCCTCAGTGGTAGAGTGAAGAGTCTACAGGCTGGCCTTGGTGGAGCTACCCTACGAGGAAATCTTTAGATTGCTACTGGGAAGAGAAACTAACATTTACTAACTAGCGCAGATCAAAACACGTTATCTAATTTAACGCTCATCAAGTAACTGCTTGAATCAGGTGTTCCCTCTTTATTCTTTATTCATAAGGAAGCTAAATCAGCCTTAAATAAGTATTTGAGAACAAAAAATCCTTTTCCTCATCACAGTATGTGGTGCATTAGGCTCAGCTCATAACTTGTGATGTGATAAGCCCCGAAGTATTTCGTGTGTGACCCCAAAGTCTGGGGTCTGCATGGTAGCCATTTCCGAGATAAATGAACCATTCGAGATTCATTTGATTCTATCATAGTTCTTGATACCAGGATATAACAATTTCAGGGATAGGGTAAGTGGTGCAGTGCCTTGGGAAATGGTGCCCACGTTTGTGATAACATTTACTGAGGTGCCAGGCACTTCAGTATGCAAGCTCTTGATAATTGATTCAATGAACTCACTAGTAATACCCATTTCACAGATGAAGAAACTGAAACAAAGTAATCGAGTGATTTGTTCAAGTTCATACAATCAGCAGAATCAAGAATTTAAAGAATGAGAGGGAGGAAAAGAAAAAGAGGAATCCAGGCACTCTGGGGCCACAGTTGGTGCTCTTAACTCCTGTGTTCCTTACAGTGCACAGGAGTAGATTAACAAGCCCATGAAAACATTAAGTCATAGGGAGAGGATTTGAAGCACTTAACTGTGCAAACTAGGGACTTGCCATTTGCTAAGATTCTTAATTGAAGAAATTCACACCAAGTAGCCCCTGGTAACTGAAACCGCCCAACAGCCTGCTTTTTGCATCCCTTCTTGCAGGCTCATATGTCCAGAGCAGGTGATTTGGGCAGCTGTCCACCTGTCACTGTCAAATGTCTCCACCACCTACAAGATAGTGGTTTCATGTTCCTGGGAGGAGACAAGCAGAAAGGGATGAATATTACAGACATACTCTGGCTTAGCTACTTTTCTCATTGCTGAGACAAAATACTCAACACCCACACTTAGAAGAGGAAAGATTTATTTAGCTCACAGTTTGTAGAGGCTTCATTCCATAGTTGGCTGTCTCCAAGCCAGGGTGGCATGGCAGAGGGGCACTGCAGGAGAGAAACAGTCTATGGCAGGCAGAAGACACAAAAGCAAGTTAGGGACAAGAGTGTGCTAGCCCTCTTTCTATCCCTTATACTTTAACCAGGCAAGGTGGGGCACCCTTAATCCTATCCAGAACAATGCTAGTAGACTGATTTAGTAATCACACACCCTTCATCCCAGCATCACGGAACACTCTGGATTCTGCCGCCTCTGAAAAGCTCCAACTATGACTTCCTGAAGCTTTGGGGAGCTAGATACAGGCCGTAAGATACTCGCAGAGGGAGAGAACCCATTTTTCATCTCTTGAGCTCTGTTCTGATCTCCATCTGAAACATAACATAGCTGCTTTTAAATTTTTGTTAAAAGCTTTGAGCTGAGCTTATTTGGGCAGATTTTTTTAACCCCTGAAAAAAGACAGTGCATAAAGTGGGTGAGCGGCTCTTCCAGGGCATTTCCTGCGTTTATGGCCTCTATTTGCTAAGACATACTCTCTTTTGAGGACATAATTACTATACCACAAGCCTGTAAACTAACTGATCCATTGTGTGCATAGAAGGAGATCCTTAGACATAGAGAGAGCTTTCCCTATGGTCATTGTTTCTACCCATAATGTACACATACAAAGCATAGCTCAATAATAAGACTCAAGTCCTAGTGGCTCTAAAACTTCTACATTTTTGTTTTTTCGGATTTTTTTGGTCTTTTTCGTTTTTATCGATACCAGGGATCGAACTCACGACTGCCTGCTTGCAAGGCAGGCGCTTATGCCGCTGAGTAAAATCCCCAGCCCCAACTTCTACATTTTTTATCACATGCTAATTCCATGATAGTTCCATAGCTTTCTGAGTGGATACACCGGTGTTGCCCTGGTGAAGGATTAATGAAAACATCCTGCCCCTCCCTCACCTGTTAGATCTCAAAATTCTTCCTCTATCCACCAATACAGAAGGAAGCTTCCAAAATGGGGTGGCGTGGAAGATTCAGTTAAAAAGAAGTTTCCAAAATGTACATGTATGTAAAATTCAGTTACTTAGCCTAAAGTACTTTAAATTTATACATCAGTCCCACAAAGGAATTATTCTATAGCTGAAAAGTATTAATACTAGGGTATGTCTTCACCTTGTCACAATGACTAACAATTTTAAGCAAATCTTAAGTGAGTCAAAATTATTTACTTACTGTGAAATCACATGATACTGTGTAGCCTGTGGGGGTTCACATACTTAGCAGATTCCTCAACAAATAATTGTTCATGGATTACAGTTATTTTACACAGTTCCCCATAAGGTTATTATGCTTTTATGAGGATAGTTTCTTAACAGTGGGAGCACTGAATTCTCTAGTGTGTGAAAGCCTATGTAACTACAACTAAATCTAGCTGAGATCAGCTGTTTTAAATAGCAACAACTCTTTCATTACAGTGGCAGTTTATGAGAGGATCTGTGTTCTTAGTTTTCCTAACAAAGATCAAAAGCAAGGTTTGCAGAAGGCCTTGGCAGAGTGGTAAGAAACTCATTCAAAATTTTCCTAAAGATGTTTTCAGTCAAATACTGGGTATCTATTCTCATAAGCCATTTAGCATAAATGTGCTTATTACTGAAACATTTAATGAAAATAATTCTCATTCCATTACAGGATATGATGCAAAACTGTAAATAAGACATGAAACTTTACAAGACCTTCAGTGTCTATTACTATGGAAATCAAAGTACAATAGAACCAAGTTATCAGCCAGCATATTATCTTTAAAGTACAACCCAGTACTGTTCTTAAACGTTCACATGTGATCGTCTAGTCCCTCGCTAGTTAAGGAAGGCAGACTGACAGCAAACAAATGTTAGTAGAGAACTCATTTGCACCTACAGTCTCCCACCCTTAAAGGCAAACTCGTCCACTTTGGAAAGCTGGATTTTTCCACGGTTACTGTATCAGGAAGACAGCACTGCTCATCGAGTCGTTGTTTTGCTGCTTCGCCTCCTGAAAGTTGCTAGGTTCCGCTGCAAAGATTGTAAAGGCTGCTTTGTGGGCAGCCTAGGGTGCATCTATGACCTTACCCAAGTGGAAGTGAAAGCTCGCAGTTTTTCTTCTCTTTTTTTTTTGGGCAACAGTAAATCTACTAATTTTACAGTCAGTTGAACAGCAATAGATTAATTTGTGTAAAGTCTGTATTCACAAAGGAAACCTGAACTCCAGCGGCTTGAATGCCCAGAGCTGCACTGTGATTTTTGAAGAGTAGACACTCTTACAACTTGCTCTAGAAAGATGCGGGCAGGCCACTGTCACCTGCTTCTCAGCACAGGTGCTGACCCCTCGGTTGACGGGGCCTCCTGACAGGATAGCGGGAAGGCTGGGCCTTTGTGTGTGACAGAGAAGCCTTTTCCAACGTCAGGGCCAGTTCTCTCCAGCAGCCGTAGGAAGCAGAAGAAAGGAGAGGTGAAGGTCACTGCAGGGGTCACACTGAGTTAAATTTAGTTAACATCAGAGGTTATAGCTTTTAACAAGAGCTCCAAGAAAACTTCTTCGAATATACAATTTGTTTCTTCTTTGCCCACTGTTATTTTTTTTTTTTTTCCTTTTTACTCCATTGACAGTGACAACAAAGTTTTTACATTCTAGGGGTTTTCATCCTTTGGAGAATAAAGAACTGTGTTCTTAAAAAGAGATGCAGGTGGAGGGCTTTCTAAAGCTTCCATGATTTTTAAATTGGGAGCTTTAAAATAGACTCCCTGCTTGGCTCAGTCAAAAATAATCTATGAGGGGAAAAAAATCCCCATTACAAATGGGGGGATGCTTTAGCAGTTAGATGCAGAAATACAAACTTCTAGAAGATTCTTTGTGTTTTTCTCAGCCATTCCAGTATAGATGTCCCAGTTATTTTTCAGAATTACCAAGGAGGCCTTCTCTGAAGTGTCCAATGCTTGTATTTCTTTACATTTAGAGCACAGTCCTGGATGGAATGAATTACTGTATTTCTACACAAGCAAAAAGATAGCCAAAGATTTCTGAACATATCCTTTATACTGCCTTATAATCCAAGTGCCCCACATTTTCTGTTCATGGGCTGGACTCTTAGGGAAATTGGTCTTTCGGAAGAGTCAGTATAACCCAGCCATTTAATGAGTCCTGTGCAATCACCTGCAATTTACACTGAGTGTCCTGCATCACAGGTAGCTGTCACATTATCTGGCTGCATTTCTTGGACATGAGATTGGCTTTTGTGAACAGGTGTACATTCTTGTAATAGTAGTTTTAGCATGATTCCCAAGCCACAAGCATAAAGTCCAGGGGACGGGGATATGTGTTAAAGTCTGAGAAGCACTGATGTCAACAGCTCGTTTATTCACTCACTAAATATTTATAGACTGTCAGGAAAGGGCCAGGCATTGGCTGTGGGGATAAGATCCAGCTGATATCTGCAATGACTCTATATTCTTCTTGGTGGATTCCTTTTCATTCCTTAAGATTCTGTTCCAACCCCACTTCACCTGTATGACAGCCTGTGGGCTACACTCCTCATAGTGTGATACCATCCCACCAACTTGGTCTTCTAGAACCTTCTCTCAGGCCACCATGCTATGTGCCCTGCTGCCTGTGAGCCTTTCTGATCTCTGCACACCCCTCAAAACTGCTTAGCTGAAGCCTTTTCTCCCCTCCACATGGAAGGTGACCACTTAGCATTTTTTCAGTGCCTCTTGCATGAAATGGTAAAATATTTAAAATATTTGGTTTCTGTCTCTATACTAGAAATCTATTTTTTTAAAATTTCTCCATCTTTAAAGCTCGGTACTTCAGTAGGGGCTTCCAAATGCCCAGTGACAGAAGACAAGAATGCCATGAGGGAGGACAAAAGAGAGGAGGAAGAAAGCAGGCCAAACATTCTCAAAAAAGAGGCAGTTTGCTAGAATTTGCCTTTAATTTTTTTTTGTCAGGTATCAGTTTTGTTCATCTGTTGAAGTACAAACAAGATGAACTTTGTTTTTTGGATGGAAGAGGTCATCTGTGGCTATGGCAGTAATCTACAGCTGTTAAACTCAGTAAGTATTTATTTCACACCTACTGCATGAATGACACAGCTTGGTCTGACACCGGAGAAACCCAGAGCCAGCAGATGGGCAGGGCCAAGGAGAGCAGAGGCTGGAGCTTGGACAGAGAAGGAAAGTGAAGTCAAAAGGGGGTCTTCCACTGGGTCCAGGTAGCAAAGAGTGTCCACCCAGCTATCCTGAGAAGACGCATGGCAACTAGTATCCTAACGCTCATCTCTGTAGTTGGTGTGACAGAGAATTCTCTGTCTGCAGAACAGATCTAATCACATTCAATCAACATTTCTTTATTCTAATAAAGGAGACAAGGGCTGAGGATTTAGCTCCGTGGCATAAGTATCTGCTTTGCAAGCAGAGGGTCGTAAGTTCGATCCCCGGTACTGGAAATAAATAAATAAATAAAGGAGACAAATAAGGAGCCCTGTTTCATATAACAATTAAGGATCCCTGCTTCTAACTTCGTATAGAAATTGATGTTCTGATTGTGATGACTGCCATCCAGATTAGGAGCACAGAGTGAGGAAAATGACACAAATGCCACCATCCTGAGTCCATCACTTCAATTCTGTCACCACGCTGTACTTGCATTATTAGGAAGCTGCAGGCTCAGACGCTGTCCCCTGGGAAAACAAACTCAAACGCAGTGGGGGTGGGGGGCATGCTCATGGCACTGGGAGAAGGGTGGCTCTCCGAGACTGGCCTCCTTTGGCATGTTTCTGGGACATTCTGCCCAGTAGAGAGAGACAGACCCTAGGCTCTGCCTGTGGGGAAAGCAGGGCTTGGACCTTAACCTTGCTGTTTTGGGCTCCTATCCAGAGCAGATCTCTGTAAAATGCGGATTGAGGTTTGCTAATGTAGAACTACACTGTCTCCTATTAGATGTGACCATCTTACAGTTAGGCTTTATGATGAAGTATTCCCTGAACTGCCGAGGAAGAGTAGATTCAGGCATCCTGTGAATGAGTTGTGTTAGAACTGCTACCATAGGAGCATTATCTTTGCATGTGCCAACATGAATGGCTTCAGAGGACCTCAGCTGAAGCCAGAGTGAGCAGGTCTAAGACACATGTGAGGTTCGGTCTCGAATCACCCCTCCCCCTGCAAGAGCGCTGACACCTAGTGCCACAGCCTGCCCCCCAATTGCCACAGCCTTCTCTTCTTTCTGCTCCCCACACTCAGATTGTCAGGTCAGCCCCAGAGAGATGGTTTTCCAATGAACTGATTATTTGGAACTCTTTCAGGTCCATCCCTGGATGGCTTAACCTAGGGCTGACATCAGTCTTCTGCTGAAGCCCACCTTCTTTCTAGAAGTTCTCCACTGAGTGCCAGGACCTGACACTTCTGCTGGAGACTTTATTCAAAGATCTTTGCACTCTTGTGTTTGGGGGTGGGAGGTGGGAGGAAGCTGTCCAGCAGGAGGAGCAGGGGGAGGGAGAGAAGGGGGAGGAGGAGGAGGGAGAGGAGGAGGGGGAGGAGGAGATGTGGGAAGTAGAAGAAAAGGTTCTGAGGAGGGTGGATCCTGGTGATGAGATAGAATTATGCTCCCAGAATCACCAGCCTCATTTGAAATACTGATTCCTCTGTGGAGATCACAAAGCAGCCTCTTTTGAGCTGTGAGTGGGACTATTTATATATTTTGGGCTTCCTTTTAGAGTTGTCTCTTATGCTGGTGACACCCTAACTTTGCTGAACTGGTATTTAAAAAAGAAAGTAGCAATTATTAACTGTACACTGAAGTTTGGGAATCAGAATAAATGCGGAACAAAAGCTTTTCCATAAGATTGCTACTCTCCCTGCCTCAGGGGAATCTGGAATCCTCCAGCTAAAGTAGGGTTCTTAAAATAAACCAAATAAGGACTGCTATGCTCTTGAACTCCATTGCTGTCTTGGGTTTTCAGGGCTGTGTTCTGCTTTTTGCACTGTGATGCTTTTACCCTCATTCTTAGTGCAAAACTGGAGCTGGGCCGAGGGAGGAGACGCCATGGGTTGAAATAGTTCATCTTAAAGGCGATCTTGCCTGCTCACACTCCTGAATTCATGGCCTCCTTCCCCATTCCTACCTTGGCAGTTTGTTTGTCAGAAGCCTAGAAGCAGTATCAGAAGCCTGGAGGTTTCAAATTCTCCGAATACACCCCGAGGCTCTCTGGTGGAAGAAACTTCGAGGCAGCTAACATGAAAATCCACCATCAATGTCAGCATTGAGCCCCAGCACCCCTCAGACCATGAGAAGTAATGAAATGCTGGTTGTTCCAGGCCACAAAGTTATGGGGTGGTTTGTGCACAGAAATAGATAACAAAACATAATCGCTAGACTAATATTAAGAATATAGGAATATTATACTTTTGGAAAGCAAAAAGGGTAGTACATACACTTAGCAAAATCCAGAAAGGTACCTCTGTAAGCTATACCTCAAATAATATCCTTTAAAAATTATTCAGTATACAAAAAGAATAGATGAAAATGTTCATTGTTAGCATTGCTTTTTTTAAAAAAAAATCTAATGCAGGAAACTTAATTGTAGGTTTGCTCAACTACAATCCATCCCCATATGGGAATGGTAGTCTGCTTTTTCAAATGACGCAGTAGAAACTGTCTTGTGTAATGCAAGTGAAAGCAATGATAAAAAATACATACTTATTTAAATATTTACCTTTATGGTCCTTAAACAATACACAGTTACACTTACCTGCTTTCTGAGGTGCAGCCACAACCTTCCCTATTGCCTGGAGTTCTATGTTGTCTTTTACATAATCACATCTAAATTATACTGTGTGTAAAAATGAAAGACATTTGAAAAACCGTATGAATGCAGTATGCTCTAGAATCTTCTCTCCAGGCCTTTCATTATCTCACTCCATCTATGTCAGTAACCTTTTTCTTTGGCGGGGGTACTGAGAATCAAACTCACAGCTCAGGAGTTTTCAACTTAGCTTTTGTAATTCTGCTGTACTCTCAATACAATCTGTTATTTAGTATAATCTGGTGTCACTTAATGACACCAAGTCACTCTGAGAAATGCGTCATTAGGTTATACCCTGGAGTGTACTTATACGAACGTATCCAGTGTACACTACCACAGCCAAGGCTAGACTGTAATCTAGCAGTGCCATCACCCCTGACTGAGATGTTGCTATCTTCAGCTCATAAGTATGTCCAGCTAAATTTGTAATTATAGTATTGATCATGACTATCAAGAACGTATTTGGGGAAAAACACAACCAACTTGTGGTCAGCAGATAAGCCAATGGATGAGCACAGGTCACAGACAAATGCAGAGTTCAACCTGAAGCATTCCAGGGATCCCTGACTTGAGGAAACCAGACACCATGATAAGCTCATTAGACACCAGGAGGACCCTGTGTGGCTGGTGAAGTGGGACAGTATAAAGGTCATTGCTGCAAGCACGAACACTACATACAGTGTAGAAGCACCATGTTTCTGTGAGGAAACAGAAAGCACCTGTGCAATAGCAAAAAAACAAAAGAAAGCAAGACGTGTAACCATGCGGACAGAGCCCATCACTGACCAAGCGTGGACAGTTGTTAATGGCAACAAAAACACATGCTTGGAACTAAAGAGCATTTCTCCTCTGATTTCAGCTCCCTTTGGGCGGAGGACTTAGACTAAATCAGGGCTAAGGAGGAACTTTGCTCACCACGCCTGCTAGGAACTTGTAAAACTGAGTCACAAAGGTGCTGGCAACTCCTTCCTTGGGGAAGCTTTGTGCGTTGGGATTGATTTATGTAATCGCGTCTGCAGTCCAAGCATGTGAGTTTTTTCCAGTTTATTTTTGTATTTATAAAACACTAATAATCTATTACCCCCTTAAAATTTATATCCCTTTCTCGGCATCTACTGCTGTGAGGTATGAAGTGTGGATCATGTGAATAATTCTTGGGATGTACTTGTCATTTTTAAAAAATGATTTTCGTATTTTCTGATAGAGAAGAGACAGTAGTAGTCTAAACTATCGAAGCCCAAGAAAGGTCATGCTGAAATTTTAACTTGGCTTGTGAAGATCCTATATTTCAATGTCAGTTTCTTTTCAGGATAAGTTATGACCATTAAACAAAATAACGCAAATGAGATTTATTCAACACTATCTTCGAAAGCACACCTTAGGTTCCAGAGAGCAGCCTAGCAGCCGGCACACAGACCATAACGTCAAGAGACTTTTGGAATCAATTGAGATTGTTCAGATTTCCGATGCGGAGATGCACCGGAGTTCTAATGCCCACCCCTCGCAGCTGATGGAGGACAAAACCCAAGTGTCTGGAGGAACGGGCAGCTGTCTCGGGGTCACACAGCTTGGATCTGCAGTTTCATTTCAGTTCCTGACGTGTGCTAACAAGCAATGTTAGCAAAACAGAGTGTTGATTCCAGCTTAGCCGGCATTGTAGGAAAGGGAGAATTACAGGGCCAGCAAAGGAGTGAGTAGGGTTTTGGGGAGGGAAGGATGCCCGGGCAGCGTATGGCAGTGAGACTGCCTGCCCGATGCCGTAGCACGGCAGGCAGGGTATCGCGCACTTGTTCAGCCATGCTGTGGTATCAGATGTGCTGGCCAGGAGTGAAGCCTGGCGTCAGCTGTGCACGCTGTGTTCATGGACTGGAACAAGTGAAGCCCTTTAGTAGGAGAGGCTACTAGTGGGAGAGGTGACCCAGTGTGGGATCAAAGGATGCAGCAAACACTGCGCCCTACATTCCATTTGCTGTCAACATAAAACTGCCCAAAAACAAAAATACCTAATAGAGTTTATTTTAATAATTACTTGGCATCTTCTAGGTTTATTATTTGTTTATATGCGTACACTACGTATGTATGTATGAAGATCTCAAAATAATTACTCAGTGAAAGATGGACAGTTCAGAAGAGAAGACAGACAGGAGATGGTCCCGGGGCAGGGACCAGCATAGATCTGAATCCACCTCAGTGTTGCCATCAGCGAGAGGCCGGCAGCCACAAGTCCAGATGCAGGACTTGTCATACCCAGAGTGATGGAGAGCCGCAGAAGACTTGAAGACTGGGCCGGGATCAGTGTCTTCCCATTCTTCTCCGGAGGACTAATTAAAACAGAAATGGGAGAGAATGGAGGTTTGGTTTGCTTGTTTTTAGTAGCTGAATGAGTCACCTCGAGAGATGCTGTTGAAAGCGCTTCCTCTGAAGCAGCTTTGTCTCAGCCTTCAAAGCACATCTGTCCCCGAAAGTCCATCCCGGTTCTTTCTCACTTTTCCCTCAGGAAAACCCAGCATGCAGGCACCCCCAGGCACACTCCAGCTCTCTGAGTACTGAGGACCCTGGGAGCTGGGCCATCCCTGCCCACTGCGCTGGTGGGCATAGCCAGGGAAGCATCTCTTGGTGACATCTCCCAGTGCCATCCACACAGGCCCTGCTGGTCAACGGTGCTGACCCTTGATTTTCTCTGTTGTAACTCTGCCCCTCTGGGATGGCCACACTGGGTGGCAGAGAGCCAGGATTCGACAGTTGGCTTCTTTATTAGAAACAATATACTTCTTCTCAAGTGGCACAGAAACCAAAGCTGGAACGGTGTTGTCCATAAAGACGACACTGAGATTACTAGGCTGCAAGGAACTTTGATCTTATCGTAGGAACCGGTCTGTGTAACATTGCGGCCACTGGTGTCCTCTCCTCCTCTGGGTTAAGTTTCCTGTGCCCTAGTTTTGCACCTCGGAGCAAGGTAATGCACTGTGACTTGTGGGTAGTTCTCAGAATCCCTGTGAACACAAGAAACCACTGGTAACCAGGGCACATGGCTAGAGCCTGTCCCCAAAATAGCTAACACTAACACCAGCTCTTGTTTAGTGCTTTCTAGAGTGGGTGTAAATCCAAGTCCGCCTGACCCAAGAGCCTGAGCTTTCAACCATTTTGCAATCAAACCACCATGTACATGGTCTACCAGTGATGGTTCATGACTTCTCCTGAACCTGAAGGCTTGGAAAGATACTACTTTATCATCATTTGGAAAATGGGGAATTGGGGCTCAGAAAAGGTAATGGTTAGCCAGATGTCACACAGCTAACACATGATTGGCTCAGATTTCTAAACCCACCTCTGACTCCCTGGTCACGTGCATCCTACTAGCTCACACCGCCCATCTGACAAAGGCCACATTCAAACGAGGGAAAGAATTGGGCCTGAAACATGGAAGAAATACAGTAACTTTGGAGACATGCTCAAAATGTCAGGGTGAGAAGCAATGATTCCGTGGAGAGCTTTCCAACGTCAGGTTCCAAGAACATTCAGCTCGCGGAAGCAGATGATGTGTGATCCACTGAATTTGGGAGATGACGCATGACCCTCTGAATCTGAGGGTGGTTTGTGACTTTCTGAAACTAGGGGTGATGTGTGACCCCTGGATTTGTGCACAGACAAAGGAACTAATGCCTAGGTAGGTAAGAAGATTCACCACGGTCATAGAGCTAGTGATGGCCTCGAGCTCTAGGTCTCCTTTCCCTGTTCAGCAAAATAAATGGTTATCTCCTTCAGAGCATGGAAAACCTGGCATAACTGCTTATTCCATACGTGATGTAACCCTTCAAAGGCTGAACTCTTCCTGACTTCAGCATTTGGTCCACAAATGCTCTGGCTTCTAGAATCCAGGGGCTGACACACGGTAGTTTAGGTCTCTGTTCTGGCTCCTTCATCTGAAGCAGAACTTATGGTGGTACTGCAATGGGGAAGGGAAATGGGTTACATGGAACCACCAAGACCTACAGCAGCATCCCCTAAGCCACAGGAGACACGTTGTAAACCCCTGGGGTACCTGGGACCAAAGATGGCACCAAATCCTGCAGGCACAATGTGCTTTCACGTACAGTGAAGCACTGTGATGGTAAATCCTGGCTGTCAACTTGATCAGCTTGTCAGCTGCCTAGGAAATCAGCAAAGTGTGCTTCTGGGCACGTCCCTGTGGGGTACAGAGCAGGACCTTGGGACTGTGGTTTGTCTGTGGCTCCCTCCTCCAGCTCATTGCTTCCTGACTGCTACAGGAGCCACCACATGTTTCTACCATGTTCCTGCCTTGGATCTAGCACGGACGGAAACCTCTCCTTCCTTCTCCATCCCTCCCTTTCTCAGACCTAACAGTATTATTCCTTGTTCAGAGTCATATTAGCCTGCTTGGGTTTGTTCAATCTCAACATAAATGAAGATATGGATAACTGCATGTATGTTTAAGTGTATAGAATTGATAACCATATTTCTAAGTTTTTGTTGGATAGTTGAACAGAACTGGTTGTAATCTCACTGTTTGAATCCCCACTTTATATGCTCCACTTTAGTATCTTGAATAACTATTTGTAAGAAGACAATCTCTAATCATCAACTAGTGATTTCTTAGTTTATTTTTTCTTTGAAATTATGTATTATTTCTACCTGTTTTCTGTTTTGTTTAGTCTTTCTTTGAATTAAATTTTAAAAAAGACACTGGGGCCGGGGATTTAGCTCAGTGGCATAAGCGCCTGCCTTGCAAGCGCGTGGTTATGAGTTCGATCCCCGGTACTGATAAAAAAAAAAAAAAAGGATACTACAGTACCCAGTGCTTATCACTGAGCATCATGATGTGAAATCCAGCAATAATATTATTCTTTGTTCAGAATGATTTTAACCTGCTTTAGTTTAATCTAAACATAAATGAAGATATGGATAACTGCATGTATGTTTAAGTGTATAGGATTGACAACCATGTTACTAAGTTTCTGTGGACAGTTGAACAGAACTGTTTGCAGTCTTGCGGTTTGAATTCCCACTTTACATGTTCCATTTTTGTATCTTGAACACCTATTTGTAAAACGACAATATGTAAATATCAACTAGTGATTCTTACTGTTTATTTTTTTCCTCTGAATGTATGTATTATTTCTACCTATTTTCTGTTTTGTTTATTCTTTAAATAAAATTTTAAAGAAATAAAAGCACCAGAGACTCCTCTGCAGAGCAGAATGCACTCCCTCATCTCCAGCAATGTCATGGCGCCTGGTCTGGTCCTCAGCGTTTGACCATGAGGTTAGCCAATAATTGGGGAGCTCAGGGCGGGAGGGAGTGAATTTGGTAACTCAGCGCTGGAACTCCTCCAACACAGAAGACTCAGTATGATTGCATAAAATTACCAATGCCGGGGACACCCTTTCCCCTCCCCTCCCCTAGACTTAATCTAAGCTCAGAGCCAGCATCTGCACATCCCGGACCCCGCAGCACAGGGCAAGGTGGCAGCATTAGTAGGCATTTTCAGAGCAAAGAGGGGTACACATGCACACACAACTGTAGAGTGACTCCCGCAGCGGGGAGCCTTGCCAGCAGCTCTCTGGGTGAGAGAGCAACTGGAGATTTATTTTTCAAGGCACAGTCCCTTCGTTCAGAACCAGAGCCAACAAAGAAAGGCCCATTATGTGGGGCACCTCCCTGGAGCCTTCCTCTTCAAATGTCCGCTGGGGCAGCTTCCTCCTACTCGAGTCATTCCCGCATTTATCCTGCTTTGCATTAGCATAATATCTCCTGGGCTGTCCTTCTCTGGAGAACATAGCACAGATCACAGAAGCTCAGCAAGAAGGGCAGAAACCTGCATCCCTGTCAGGAGGTGGAGTCTTTATTCTTCTCTGCTCTGATATGGTTGTACGTCATAACTGAATCGCAAATGTTCTGCTTAAAATTAAAGAACAAAACACAGCCGAGGTGAGCTTTTGTGATTCAAACACCTCAGGATCTCGAGGGAGCTCTGAATGCTGGGGGACGCACACGTTACACACGAGTGAGCTTGTTTTAGTGAGGCATTCACGTGTTTGGTAGAGCACAACACAGATCATGCTGGGGGCATGCTCATTGCAAAAGACACTCCTTCCTGCAGACCTACGGGGAATCTGCACTGTGCAGAGGGCTGGAGGAGAGTTCCACCTCCCTCTCTACTGACACAGCAAATTTTATTTCCTTCAGGTAAGGCAGAAGTAGGCAGGGGCAAACATTCCCACAGCCCTCTTCTCTTGCTGCTCGCCTCCCCAGATGCCACACTGGCAGTTTGTCCCTTGATCTTTGCACACACAGCACCACTCTTTTGGATTTTGTATACAGTGCTTGTCACCTGTCTCCAAATCTACCCTTTCTCTGTAGCAATTACCATGTGAGACAGAGCAGGCGAGAGGCCAGTGCTGGGGGTGGCAGAAGGATTCGCCAACAGTCAAGGACAACAGAATAGGTGAGAGCAGCGTGCAAGTTCAGAAAATAGCAGATGCCGTCACTTATTAAAGAGCAACCAGGAAAACAGAAATGGCTTCCGGTGCTTAAGGCAGAAAGAAAGAAATCCGGAAACTGGCTTCAAGGGTGAAGGAAGAGCCGCAAGCAGCAGGAATCCGGGAAACAGAAACAGCGACAGCAGGAATCTGCCACCACCACCTTCAGGCTGCAGGGGTGAAGAAGGTGCATGGTGCGCCTCGGAGGGAGCAAGGAGCCTCGGGGGTCTTTCTGGGCCGCGGGCCCGTGTCTGGTTAGCTGCACCCCGATGTCATCTGTCCTTGGCCCAGACAACTGTGTGCTGCCCACTCACCCCCTCCCTCCCTCTCCACCTCTCTGCTATTAACAGTAGGG